TAATGTCCAAATATGAAGAACAACACTCTCCCAGCTTCACAAACTGTTGCCTGTTGGTTAAATAACTTCTTACCCATTCCAAAACTACACCCCTGATTCCATAACGTTCCAGTTTCTTTATTAATATGTCACGATTAATTGTGTCAAATGCTTTTTTTAGGTCAATGAATATTCCAATGGCATGTTTCTTTTGGTCAATTGAGCTATTCATTTATTCAAGTGAGTCTATTAAAGCCATCGATGTTGATCTATTGGCTCTGAATCCGTATTGACTTTCGGTGATAAGTTTGTGTTTTTCTATGAAATTGTCTGTTATTGAAAAGCTTTTCAAGAATTGTTGAGAATTGTGGTAGAAGTGAGACAGGTCTATAGTTTGTGAAGTGATGTTTGTTCCCAGCTTTGAACAAAGGTATGACTTTTGCTATTTTCATTTAGTTAGGAAATGCACCAGTTTGGAATGATAAGTTACATATGTGTGTGAATGGTTTTGAAATAACATCTATAACCTTTTTTAATACAGTCATGTCAATGTCATCACAATCGGTAGATGTTTTGTTTTTACATTTCGTTACAATATCAACTACTTTCCTTTCGTCCACTGCTGTGAGGAACATTGAGAAAGGATTACGTTTTATTAAGTTTTCCAGCTTTTTTTCTGATATTCCTCCATCAGGGATTTTACCTGCTAATTCAGGTCCAACATTTACAAAGAAATCATTGAAACTGTTGGATACAACATCCATATTTTCCTCTTCCTTATCCTTGTCAATGAAGTATGTGGGATAACTCCTTTTTCTAGACCCATTTTTTATAATACTATTCAGTATTCCTTTAATGTTGTTTTTATTTTTGTCTAGTATTTTCCGATAGTATTCACTTTTGCAGGTCCTTATTATAATTGTTAATTTATTTTTATATTTTTTATATCTAATCTCTGTCTCTTTTGTTTTATTTCTCATGAAATCTCTATACAATGAATTTGTCTTTTTACAGGCATTTTGTAAACCCCTTGTGATCCATGGACATTCTGCATATTTCATTTTTCTACTGTATTTGACAATTGGGCAGTATGTATTATATAATGATAAAAACATTCTCAGGAATTGATCATATGCACTGTCAATATTGTTTTCTTTGTATAAATCATCCCATCTTTGTGCCAGTAAAGCATTTTTTAAAGCGTTCATTGCTTCCTCTGATCTAACTCGTCTGTATTGAATAGCATTGTCCGGCATGTTATTACTGTAGTTTCTGTCATAAACTGCAAATACTGGTAGGTGGTCACTTATATCATTTATTAAGAGTCCACTTACTGTATTGTTTTCTATGTCATTTGTGAATATATTATCTGTGAGAGTAGCACAGTGCGATGTGATTCTGCTGGGTCGAGTCATTTTTGGATATAAACTCATACTGTACATTGTGTTGATAAATTATTCTGTCATGCTGTGATTATTTGGATTTAGAAGGTCAATATTGAAGTCACCACAAATGAAAACTGTTTTATGAATCACTTTTGAGAATATTTCCTCCATCCAGTCCTTGAAAATCTCAATACTAGAGCCGGGTGCTCTATACATACAACTGATGATTACATTTTTCCTTTTTTCATTGCAGATTTCAATCGTGATACATTCCAATACATTATCAATCACTGTTGACATATAATTCTACACCTCCTCCACCCTTGTTTTGTCTATGTATGTATCTGAGTCCATAGCCCTCCAGCTCAAAGTCTATGCCTTTGTCCTCCGTGATCCAAGTTTCAGATATGGCAATGATGCTAAATGTTTGTTGAAACTGATTTAAATATTCCTTGATGAGGTTAAAGTTAGCATACATGCTTCTGCTGTTGAAGTGAATAATAGATAGCTTGCCCTCTGATGATATGCTCTGGTTGTACTGTTGATCAGTGTAATAACAGCAGTTGTTGATGATAGAAGAGAATAAATTATTGTCTGGGTCTATTTCATAATCCAGATCTTTTGTTTTATAGTCAGTGTATTCAAATGTGTTTAGCAACAGTTGGTCTTGTTCCTTGATCATCTGAGACATATTAATATTTCCCCCTATTGAAGATGATTGCCTCCATTCAGTGTGAGTCATGGTTGTGTGTAAGTGCTTGTTACCTTATGTGTGGTCCAGAACATGAAGATTATTGGTATTCATCCAGATCCTCCATGTTTCTGATGACCAGTACTTTGGCCTCCTGTGTTCCGTTTAGCTTTAGAAATATTTTGCAGTTTGTTGTCCAGGTGTTCTGAATTGTCTTCTGTTTTTTCATGAAGCGAGCCTTTCTGGCTATGTCGCCGTTGTACTTGGTCAGATGCTCGTTGATGTAGACATCTGATCCTTTCAGCTTCCTTCCTTGTTTGAGTAAGGCCGTTTTGTGTTTCCTGTTCACAAACCTGATGAGAATAGCCGGTTTGTTGCAAGCGTTACTCCTTGGCAGGGGGTGGCATGCCTCGATGTTCTCACAGCCCAGTTCGATCCCCTCGGACTGGAGGAAAGCAGCCACCTGTTGCTCCGTGGAGCTGACATCAAGCTCCCCGGGCTCACCCCTGTTGTTAACGGCCACATCACGAGCGTATGACCGGGGTTTTATGTTGAGCCCGGTAACGATAACATTGTTCATCCTGGTATATTACTCAAGGTCCTCCACTCTGCTCTCCAGGTAAGTTATCCTCTTGTCCTTCTCAGCATTCTGGATCCGCAGATCCTTAACCTCTTTTACAAGGTCCAAAATATTTTTCTGCTGCAACCTGACAGCAGAAATGTCCTCCGCCAGGAAGTCGAGCGACTTTTTAATGTCCTCGACCTCCTCCGCAGCGATGGTTGTCTTTGGACCCATGAAGTACTTTGATAGAATCCAGCGATTAAGATGTTATAGTGTATGTTACGCATGCACAACAGTCAATTGTCAATAGTCGCAAAAACTTCTCTCTGCACGCTGCTGCTGCTACTGCTCTCTACTTACTGCTGCAATGTTTAGAAAAGAAAACTTCCATCTTGAATTGTATTTTGTAACAGCACTACTGAAGGTATTGGTTACCCATCTTTATCAACATAATCTGTGAAGTTAACCTGTATGCATAGGACACTTTTGGTTAGTCAGTACGACTGAATGAACATTTGATATCACAGTTTGACTGTTGTTTACTATTACAGGATGCTGCCGCGACTAATCTGTCGAAACTCTTTACAGTTATTTAAAATTAAATAACTACTAACTAGTACTGCTTGACTACAGAGTACGCCCGCCCGTTGTTATGTTCCTGCCTACTGTAATGTCTTGACTTACTGCTGAATAAACCTGAGTAATAAAAGATACTCGACACTCGATCATTCTACATTTATATGTATATGAAAGTATTTTTCGAGTTTATTTTGTTAATATGGTCATTTTGTTCTTTTATATGAATGATTCTTGCTTGTTTTAATTTTGACTTTAATTTCCTCGTTTTGTGTATGCACCTATAGAAGTAAATGTGTGCACCTACAGCTTCTCATACTGACATGACACTGCAATACTGCAATATTTCAAACTGAATTACTCCGGTCTCTCATGACACATGTTTCACTGTGGAGCCTGGAACTCAGTGATGGGCGACGAGGTAGATTAATACCCCCATCCCCTTCCCACACACACACACACACACACACACACACACACACACACACACACACACACACACCACACACACACACACACACACACACACACACACACACACACACACACACACACACACACACACACACACACACACACACACACACACACACACACACACACACACACACACACACACACTGCTGCCACCTCTAGCATGACAACAACATATATGTTGGAAGGGTTAATGGTAAACCAATTAGAGAGTGGCTATAATCTGCGTGAGGCAAAGGTCATCCCTTAGTGGACAGTGGGATTAGGGGCGGAGGTTTCCTCACTTGGCGTGTTACTTCACCTGAATCCACACCGCCTGCTGCACACCCTCATCCTCCCCCCCGATCCATACAGCACAATAAACATCTTCCAGCCAGCCGCCCTCTGGCTGCGGCCCCACTCAGAGGGTCGTACAGGGGTCATGCTTTATTCAATCCTGAACATGAAGCATGGGCAAAGTCAAGGTCGTGAACTGTTAAGTGTCTGATGAAAGGCCACACACATGCACAATACTTAGTCCCCAAGCCAGGAAAGGCGACTGAATTCCAAATATGCACACTGTACTATAATCAGGCTGCAAATATGATCAGGCAGGAGACTGTCCCCGGGCGCTTCACCTGCTGCAGTCTGCTGGCTTTTAATCAGCGGATGTGATCATCACAGGGACACTGAACAAGTTCCATGTGGTGTTACAATCCATCAGCTGCCCGCTACAGAGTAATGCTGTCTGCATCTGCAAATATATGCACCCTCTCCGAGACTTTATATAAGTATTGACACATTATACCAAGCTGTGATACCAACATGTCACATTAAATCACAACATTTCTCCCATTCAGAATGGTTATTTCAATAGTCTCCATACACATATACAACTACTGTGCTTAAGTTTGACTAGTTCAAATCTGTTATTGCTTGATATTGGAGATAATACATGTATGATGTTGAATGATCACTCACGCTGTATATCAGTTGGCTGGCCACAATAAGTTAGGCTGCATGCAGCTGAGGGATGTGTTGGATCGGAGGGGCGCAGTGTATCTGGAGGATATTCTATCATTGCCCTGGGATGCTGCACGAAGGGGGGGTAATTGAAATTCTCAGCGATGATATTGCACTCAGTTTGATGAACACTGCGCGGTGTCCACTTCAGCTAAATAGGGCATAGGCTACAGGCAGCACGGCGACAGACAAGGGAAAGGAATCAGACACTTAGAGGAACACCGATGCGCTGCTGCAACATATATTATGCATAGAACACGCCAATGAGTCCAAATGTGAAGCCAAGTTACCGCGTCATGCACATCCACAGTACAGATTATCGACTTCTTACCTCCTTATCAGGCGTGTTCAAAATGTTGCTCCCTCCATTAGAAGCAGTAGATGCTCAATGCATTGTAGTTTTCATGTCAACAGTAATTCCAATTGTAATTTCCACTCATCGTCCAGGAGTCCCGGTATTGTCTGATCACTCTTTCCCCTTTGCGCGTAAATAAAAACGGAGCGATGCGCGCCCCGCTCCGCCGCTCTCCGCCACTCTGTGCGCGCTACTGGCGGGCAGATCGATCCGCTCCCTGCTCTAAGTTTGAGGAAAAGCATATATGAAGTTTCACAGACATCCCCGTTCCGATTGAATATATATCTACTCGCACTCCCCCGGTGAGAAGGCTGGAGATGATGTCCTCGTGCAGCAGGATAACAATGTTCTCCTCCCCCCCCCCGCGCGCTCTGTGGTGTTGTCTGCGTTTTGATCTGGCTGCAAATACCCGCAGCCTGTAGTCCTCTCTCCGCCTGCTGACGGCAGATGGATGGGAGTTCATGTGACACATCTAACATGCACAACTCTCACAGAGCTCATTAGTATCAGCAGCAGCAGCGCTGTAATGGAGATCATAATGGTGAGGACAAACGTATCTTTTTATAACACGCATTGACTCTCGGTATCTCTATCTCTAAGGGCGTTATCAACGGAAAAGTAGGCTAATATTGCTGGAAGTAACTAAGTACATTTACTCAAGTACTGCCCTTAAGTACATTTTTGAGATTTTTTTGATTAACTTGAGTATTTCCATGTTATGCTACTTTGTACTTCTCCAATACAGAGGTATAAGATAAAGACCATATAAGAAGTACTTTACTGATCCGAATTTTGGAAATGTTTGTTTTTATGTAATGGTGTACTTTTCCTCCACTACATGTATTTAATACCTTTAGTTACTTCACAGATGTGGGTGAATGATGTGAAATATAATCAAGTGTTGAATCAGACTTTAGTTCCACCTGCAGTAAATCCACAAGCTACCCTGCAGTATACAAAGTCATTCAAACTAGCTGCACCTTTACCAGCTTTGAGAACACTTTCATGATCAATCATTATAAAAGCAACCCGGTATCACGGCAAGACGTGAACATGTGACGATTTACCATGCTGGGAGACGTGAAGATGTCACGGGTTCGTCCCCTTCAAACGTGACAGCTACATGGTATTGTTAACCCATGTTAACCAGTGGAGAAATAACCGGAAATACCAAGCAAATGCTACCCCGACGTAATGATTTATTTGTTCATAGTCACACTCGATTACAGCGATTGTCTTGTTGCCCCAGCTGGTCGACACCTCTTTTAGCAGAAACAAAGGCTACATTAATGTATTCAATCGATGTTAATCCGTGCGTGTGGATGTGGAATTAACGGACGTGACGTTGTGCGATTGAGTTGCCAAGCAACAGCTTCGGTTCATGTTAATTTACAAACTATTCAACTACAACTGTAGTTATATTTAAAAACATGTTAGAAGGCCTCACGAAATACTTTAATGCACATTAAAATATAAATGTGAAGGAATGTGTGTGTATAACAAAATACATCGGTCATTAAACGAAACCGGAAACAGACGTTTCCGGTTTACTACTGCTTGACCTTTCATCTAGAACCCACCTCACCTCTGCCCACTTTGACAACCTAGGATGGCTTAGAGTAGACGACAGAGTACAGCTACTTGCAATGGGCCTGGTCTACAAGATCCACTACACCTCTATGGTACCCATGTACATGTCAAAATTATTCCCAAAGGTCAAGGAATACCATGATCATAACACCAGAGGGAGCTCCACAAATCATGTGAAACCCAGATTTGGCACAAAAAAGGGGGAATACACGTTTCGCAATTATGCCACATCAAGGTGGAACGCTCTTCCCACAACTGTAAAGGAAAGTAAAACTATACTTACCTTCAAACCTCTCTTAAAGAGCACCTTCGGGGGAGAGCATTGCAAAACTGGCCCCGGTAATGGTACAAATCTCAACCTGTCGTTCAATGGACAGCTTCCCCCCCCCCATCTATGTATATACTCGCATTTTAGACTCTGTTACTAACTGTATATCTGTAGACTTGGTATGTCTTAAATGTCCGGTTAGGATGTATTAGAACGAAATCTAAAATGAAAATTGTAAACAAGCAATCTGTATGTAAAAAAACCACCTGTATGTAAATTGTAAATAAGCCATCTGTATGTCAAATATGTCTTATATGTCTTAAATGACATGATGAATTTGAAATGGGGGACCCTGATGTAAACAAGACGAAAGTCTTTCTCTGGTCTGCATCCCCTTAACAATTGTATGTTTTGAGCTGTACTGTACTGTACCCAATATACAAGCTGTTAATAAACGTTTCAATCAATCAATCAATCACGTAGGCAAGATCCTCAGCTCGATGATTGGATGGTTATCCGCAATGCATGCTGGGATTTGGTGTTTATGTGATGTGACATCTGAAAACGTTTTTTAAAAATACAATAATACTTAATTCCGAGTGTGCTTGCTTTTCTCTTTGAAAGTCATCACATAACGGCATTGTAATACACGGTTCGGCTGCATTAAATATTACATATCTGCCGTAGTTCTGTATTTATAGAGCCCTGATGAGAAGACTTCTAGACAAACAGGAGAACTGCCGCCAAAACTGAAGATGTGACGTGGATCATAAATATATAAGCAATTAAACAACATCTTACATTTCTTTTCACACAATGCGTCTCCTTGCAGTATCAACACTAATTCGGCTGACTTTTATATTTGATCCAATTGGTAGATAGGCTGTATTTAAACCATAACCGTGCAGAGCTGATAGAAAACAGTGCAAAACAGACAAACTAATAAGGCTTAATTTAAACATTAAAGAGTACTTTAGGTTAAGGTCTTATTTTGAATAAGAAAAAAGCTTTAAGAAGAATATGGAGGGATGAAACCCTCTTGAAACCGCAGGTCCTTCCTTCCTGCAGCGGTCAGACTTTACAACCAGCACTGCCCCTAGTAGACCCTCCTACACACACAACACAGACTATAACACCCCTTGCTGCTAAATACAAACCAACTTTGTGCAATATGTGCTATATGTGCAATATATATATGCCATTAATAACTGTGTAATTTATACCTGGCCACTAAATCAATATATATGCCGTTTTGTTTTTGATCTGTATTTTTAAAAATTATGTAACTTTTTATCTTTTTTTTAGCATATTGTTTATTATATTCTAACTTAGTACTTTTTTAGCATATTGTTTATTTTATTCTAACTTAGTACTTTTTTAACGCATGTAAGATATGCAACACTAAGCTGTCTGTGGCTCTTTCCTGCTGTAACGCTGCACATTTCCCCTCTGTGGAACTAATAAAGGTATTCTGATTCTTTAATGGTCACACATGCAGAGCACACAGCACACACAGTGACATTTGTATCTACAGATAAATATTAAGCCTGACAAAAGTACTTAACGTCTAATATATTGCTTTCCTGCAATGTTAACTATGTTTAAGCACTTATTTGTTTATTATTTGTTTATTATTAAACTGATATTATACATATGTAGGGATGGGTATCGTTTGAAATTTATCGATTCCGATTTCGATTCCGGTTCTGCTTATCGATTCCGGTTCTTATCGATTCCCCGTTTCGATTCCAAAATTGTAAAATAAAGAGGTCAAACGTTTAGATAACAAAAATATATTTATTCTTAAAAGCTTTAACTGAAATTGTTACTAAAAAATATACATGCAATACAAATGTATTGCACAATAGCTGTGCTTTATTGTAACTGAGCTATGCCTGTGGCAAGCTATTAACAGGCATTACACTTTGCCTTTTCTTTTTTAGTGTAGTGGAGCCTCACTTCAGAGTGTTTACCGCGACCTATCTTTGGTGTTATGAAGTGACTGAGCTCGTGAAATGTCTACGGGAGGGCGGGGGAGCATCGCTGCGGGGCAACTGTGGACCTCTGTCGCCTGTCAGCGCAATTTATATGATGCCGTTTAAAAAAATGAAGGGCGGTGCCGGCCGTCAGCGTACCGAGCCGGCCGTCAACGACCCGCTGACGACCGGCCGTTCTGTGATTCTCCAGGTCCGCCCTGTATTCCACCGGGTCACCGCAGCACCGCGGTGCAGACGGACCCGCTGGAATACAGGGTCTACCGCGTTAAGGAACCGTTAAGCAGAACCGAAATTGTGTATTTTGTATGGGTACCCGGTACCCGGCATTTTCTTATCGGTTCTCATCTGGAACCGAGTTTCGGTTCCCAACCCTATACATATGTATTATACTCTTATAAGATGTATGTAGATAGTATAAGAAATGTGCAGAATGACAGTTTAATGGTGGAGTAACACATATTGATAGATGTCTTGTAATGCACTGTTGAGGAACCTGCGACCCAAGTTTTTCATTCATTGCATAACTACACAGTAGTTGTGTATAATATGATATGTCAATAAACCTTAGCTTATAAAATCTTGAAATCTTGAAAGGGATGTTCAAACTAGTCAATATATACAGTCTTTAATTAACTATTAGTAGAGAATAACGAGTAATGAATATACTTTATAGAGATCCTATTAATATCTAATAATAAAATAATAAAATTCAATAACGTGCTTTGACCACCAGGTGTCCCTTTATATCAGCTCTGCACGGTTATGGTTTAAATACAGCCTATCTACCAATTGGATCAAATATAAAAGTCAGCCGAATTAGTGTTGATACTGCAAGGAGACGCATTGTGTGAAAAGAAATGTAAGATGTTGTTTAATGGCTGATATATTTATGATCCACGTCACATCTTGAGTTTTGGCGGCAGTTCTCCTGTTTGTCCAGAAGTCTTCTCAGCAGGGCTCTATAAATAGAGAACTACGGCAGATATGTCATATTTAATGCAGCCGAACCGTGTATTACAATGCCGTTATGTGATGACTTTCAAAGAGAAAAGCAAGCACACTCGGAATAAAGTATTATTGTATTTTTAAAAAACGTTTTCAGATTTCACATCACATAAACACCAAATCCCAGCATGCATTGCGGATAACCATCCAATCATCGAGCTGAGGATCTTGCCTACGTCTGTTTCCGGTTTCGTTTAATGACCGATGTATTTTGTTATACACACATTCCTTCACATTTACATTTTAATGTGCATTAAAGTATTTCGTGAGGCCTTCTAACATGTTTTTAAATATAACTACAGTTGTAGTTGAATAGTTTGTAAATTAACATGAACCGAAGCTGTTGCTTGGCAACTCAATCGCACAACGTCACGTCCGTTAATTCCACATCCACACGCATGGATTAAGATCGATTTAATACATTAATGTAGCCTTTGTTTCTGCTAAAAGAGGTGTCGACCAGCTGGGGCAACAAGAAAATCGCTGTAATCGAGTGTGACTATGAAAAAATAAATCATTACGTCGGGGTAGTATTTGCTTGGTATTTCCGGTTATTTCTCCACTGGTTAACATG